TTGGCACAGAAATATCCACTAAGCTACGATCTCAAAGTTTCGAGCTGGAATGAATAACTTCAACGAGCACAGAGTCTCCAAAACAAAACAGATTTAGAAACAAGCTCCGAAGGACAAGCGGCAGAGATAACTCTTAGTCTGACTAAAATCGAAAATAAATGTAACCCCCTTTCATATAATTTTTTTTAACCGCATCTACAAAATTCTCGAATTGTCTCAAAGACGACAGAACGTCTAGGATTCCAGACCTCGCGAATGCCAGCCAGTCTCGAAAACTATCGCGACTGGCAGGTCAGAAAGGAACCAGTGATCGGGGCTCGCCCGTAACAGTATCACGTGAATTTGGTTTCAGAAATACAACCCAATTATAGTAAATGTTTTATCAGTATTCTGAGAAATACCGTGAGAAAAAAAAAGTAGGCATAAGGCAAATAAAAATATATAGTCTTAAAAAATAATAACCCGCATAATTTCTACAAATTTTTTTATTTTTGTCTGTATTATTTCGTAAATTTACTTTGTCTGAGCTCAAGGGGGGGGGGGTTAAACCCCTAACCCCCCCCCCCCTTGCGTTTGCCCCNTGCGTATGCCCCTGCTTCAGTCTAAGCCAGAGTCTTACACCTCTTGCAGTGAAATTTTTATGCTAATTTATGAAAAGAAATTTGTTGATGTTTTCCCAAATTGCTACGCTATCTTAAGGATTTTTTTTTAACTTTGCCAATCACTAGCTGTGAAGCTGAGCGCTCCTTCTCCAGGATAACATGTATAGAAAACAAATATAGGACAACAATGTCGAACCATCGACTAAATCATTTATCAGTTCTTTCCATAAATTGTGATTTAACGAAGGACTTACAATGTGATGAGCAAATAATGAAATTTGCAGCACAAAAATGCAGAAAGTTGCTTTTTAATTTATATAGCATAACTACACATAACCTGTTAATTTCTTTTGCAATAATGCTGTACAGTTGCTGTTTGTATAGACAAATAAAAATAAATAAATAAAAAAGTAAATAAAATTATTTTATTGTCCTATTTTTTTCTATATACTTATCTACATCACTATAAAAAACAGTTTTTTGACAAAATGGCTATTAGGGCCCCAAAGTAGTTTCAGCCCAGGGCCCCACAAATTCACGATCCGTCCATGGGTTGGATCCATCAAAAAGTCCTTCACGAAGGCTAGTTTGTCTTAATGCTCGATCCAGGAGTTTATTTGCCTTCTTGGTTCGGCTAAAAATTAAAGAACTATGGTGTTGAACATTGATGGTCGTATGCCCGAAACTAAGTCGGATGCTCAACGCCGGTTATAAAATTTTAAAAAAAAATATGCTCCACGAAGTACTTAGAGTATATGTTTATAGAGTATGGTAGGATATGTTTAAAGCTTAAAAAAATTATAAGACATATTTCAAAATTTAAAATATTTTTTACGAAAAAAACAAGATTATACCATTATTGTATTCTTTGCGCTCTCAGTGATTGAAGGGAAAAAAATCGAAGATCGATTCTAAATCAACATTCAGGAAAAACAGGATAAAAAGGAAGTTGGCATTTAGGGTGTCAGTTTTTCACAAAACAAACATTTGTCAAAACTAATTGACGCAAAAATGGCAATACCAGACAACACTATACGAACGTCAGTCACATTTAATTCCATTTTTCAGATCCCGCTCTTCTTATTAAATTTGTGCTCAACGAAACAAACTAAAGTTCTTTTTTAACAAATGTAATAGAATCAAAATGATAAAATAACAAACAAATTGTGGATGCGCAATATATCCTTAAATTAATTTTATTTTATTTTATTTTATTACCACGTTTATATAAACTTGCCTTCGTGTATGTCTGTCCGGGTGGAATTTTGTAATCAGTTTTAAACTAACTTCCCGACTAGATACAAACTTCAAATTTGGCACATACTTCAGAATTGGATGACAATGCATGAAATGAAGAGAAAAAAGACATACGAAGTAAAATAAAATTAAAATTTTAAAAAAAAATATTATTTTCGAGATTGTCTTTTGTTGTCGATTCCATTATTTCAAATTATTACGTGTCAGGTGAAAAGATTTTTGTTGTCGGAGTATTTTTATTGGCTGAAAAATCACGTGGTAGGATCCAGTTTTTCCTCATTCATTTCCAGATTGTTTTGGTTGTCATCAGCATAAAACTAATGAAAGTCGTAAAGGTATTGTTTTTCTATAAAGATTTTTGTATCCC